TTTTAGATTTACAGCACGTTTCTGTTTGCTTCAGTCTCTTACCAACCCTAGACTAGTTCTGCTAACACAAGTGTCTGCTACCTGCTCAGCAGCAAAACAGCCGACAGACAATATTAGTGACTAGCTGGTGAAGGAAGCAGAATATCAAGCAGAGGCAAACATTTTTCTCAGAAGTTAAAGTTGACCACAAATGGAGCTAAAAAGAAAGGGAGTTATCAGGTGGACAAGCACCAATGCTAAATGAATGCTAATCTTTCTGTGTGCCTGTAGGATAAGCAGGAATCCTAGTGTGATCTGTTTCCTATCATGTTGGCCATAAAAACTATATTATTTCACGGCAGTTCACATAGAGGACCAAAATCTCCCTTCCCTTAGCTATAGCATCTAGCTATACAGCTAGCAGCTGTAATTCAGTGAGTAGTATCAAGAGGGGCCTTTTTTCATCACTTCATCATCATGATGTTTTCGGGTTGTCCATCCATTCCGTTCTCAGGATTCTATAACTTTGGGAGAAACATCCACTTGGACTCATAGATGTACTTATTAAATTTTGGTGGTTAAAGGTCAAGGTCTGTGACCTCACGCCTGTCTCTTTCCTGTGAATTTGACTGGTTGGCAGAAGCAGACAATTCTAGTTCTTATATTTTTCATCTCAATCTTTTGAGAACTTAGACAAAGAACAACATGGGTGTAGCACTGCCAGAGCACACTGCGTTGGTTTTCCTCCATGAGATGAAAAGGAATATTTGCTTAATCCAGTTGAAATTTGATTCATAAGGTCAATACATGCACTGAGTAACATTAAAAGTGGCTGCTGATGGCCTTGCATCCACACAGTGAACAGGCCTATAGCTGTGATGCTAGCTAGCGTTAGTTAATACAGATGAAAAAGCAGTGGCAGTACAGCAACGAAAAGTTGCATCCTGGGATATTATATTAATGCTACTGTTTTCTCATCAATTGACATGAAAATATACAGTAAGATTATTGATGGCTATAACATTCACCCTCTCACAACTGGCTACTAATTCATGTTGTTGTTCTGCCACACCAGAGGATAAAGTCAGTCTAACACTTGCCACGTATGAAAAGTGTTTACAACTTGACCGTGCGTGTGTGCACACATGTCATTTAGCTGCACTCTGGTGCTAACAGCACTACACCTCTGAAGGACGGACAGGAAGCTCTAAACTCTGATAAATGAAACAATGCTACAGTGGTGTAACATATTGCTTTGCAGTGATTATAGAGCAGCTAAGGAGCTGTTGTCCTCAGCTTCTGTATGTTCTAAAAGAATAACAACATGGTGGCTCAGCAGCATATTAGCAGTGTGAGTGCTGACTTTCAGTTTGCACATTAATATGTAAATTAAATGTTAATCGATTTTCAAAGGTGTGCATCTATCATGTGTTTTACTGCAGCGCCCAGTGTGACTCAGCCAGTCAGAGCTGAACTACGCAGTTTGTAATAAGGCAATTCAAGTGCTCTAAAAATGATTAAAAACAAATGGTGACACTTTATTTCAAGTGCACTGCAGATGCATTGCAAACAAATAATAAGGTCCTTAACGCACAAACTGTTACTATGTAATAATCTAACATCAGGAAATTACATTCAATTGGACTTGTTTCATTAGCTGTAAAGCTGCTCTGTGAGTAATTAGCTCTTTTTTTCATGTTTTGTAAATCATGTTCTGATAAATTACTATGCATGGGCTTAGTGTGGCTTATGAGGACTCCATTTAAAGATTTACCTAAGAAAACAGAGCTTTTGTAAGAGCAGAGAAGAAACTAGAAAGAGGTGTTTGAGTCCTCTCTCGTAGGTATTAGCAGGTAAACAGGAAGTAGATTATGCAGCCTGCTGACTGAAAGATACACTTGTACAACTAAGTGCTAGCACAGCATCAGGCCAACTGCACACATGGTTTTACGTTGTCAAGTTTTGGGTTCTCTTTGCTTTTTATGAGGCTGAGCGCGGCGAGGACTTAGTAGTTTGCCGGGCTCCTGCTGAGCACATAATGAATGGAAGACTGCAGCTGTGGGCCTGCCAGGCAAGAAGAAACAGTGCTGTGGAATTGTGGCGTAGCAGAGGAGAGTCTCGCTTTGTGGGTCTCGGCGGGAGCTCGCTGAGATCAAACATGTCGACAGCGCCGCCATCCGCAGGGCATTCTGGGTAGACAGTCCTGAGGAGGAGATGCCTGAAAGCCAGACGGTTTTTGTACCTGTGTCTATTGTTTATGTTTGTATACATGTGTGTGTGTGTGTGTGTGTGTGTGTGTGTGGCTGTGTGTGTGTGCACATGGCAGCTTTGTCAGTGTTTTTCAGGAGTGAATGACGGCGGCACGGTGGAAGCTGTCATAGGTTTTGTTTTTGTTTTGGGGTTTTTTGCCTTCAGAGGGCAGACTTTGAAATGGATTAACGAGGACTGACTGGATGTGACTTCCAGGTTTGCTTTGACATGACTTTCCTCCGTTTGATGTGGCTTCAACCCCCACGCACACACAGAGCTCATCCGTGTCCTTGTGTTAGTGGCACTGCAGTGAGACGGCAGCCTGAAGGGTGTCCCGTCTGTCGGCTGTCTGTTGCCCTCCTTCCTCCTTCTGTCTCCCTTTATTCTTCTTTCTGATCCTTTCTCCGCTGATGGTTGATTCACAGTCTTTCTTTCACCTTGTTTTTTTTTCTTTATCTCTTTGTTTCATTTTTATTCTCTTTTTGTTTCTCTTTAGTTTTAGTTTTTCTCTGTTTTCTTGCTTCTTTGTCTTTATAACCTCACTTTGCTTCTTTTTCTTTTAAAGCATTCGTCCATCACTGAATTTCATTTAAATCTCATTTTGCTTTCTCATGCAAGTTTTTCTTTTTTCTTTCTCTGTGTGTGAAAGGCATTGCACACTGTGAGTCCAGAGCATTCTACTATCACTGAATTTTAATTTTGTTTCCTTTTTCTTTTGTGATTTCTTTCACAATGTAGCTTTTCCCTCTGTTCATCTTGTTGTCTTTAAATGCCGATGTTTCCGGCTGAAATGCACCACAAGAGTCACGCCTTCGATTTTGGACTTTCTTATCTTGACCTTTGTTACTGTAGTTTTGCTTTCTTTTCTTACATGTAGGCATTTAAAGTCGAGTTGTATCACAAACAGCATTCATTCATCAGCCTCTACATACATCCATTATCCATACCACTTATCCTAACAAGGGTCGCGGGGGCCCTGGAGCCAATCCCAGCTGACACTCAGCAAGAGGCGGGGTCCACTCTGGACAGGTCTCCAGTCTGTCGCAGGGCTGACACGTAGACAAACAACCACACACACTCACTCCTACGGACAGTTTAGAGTCTCCAGTCAACCTAAGCTGAATGTCTTTGGACTGTGGGAGGAAGCCGGAGTACACACGGAGAACATGCAGACTCCACACAGAAAGGCCCCGGGTCGGCCGGGGCTCGAATACTGGAATTTTTTTTGCTGCAAGGACAGAGTTAATTAATGCGTCACCATGCCTCTTCGGCCTTTACATTTTACTTGAATTTCACAAATAGCGTGCCAGCTTGCTTAAAGTAAGGCCAGAGCTGGCTAGTTAAACGTGTTACACTTTGTCCCTGCGGTCCGCGGTGAACCTGGAAGATGCAGGTGTATGGTGGTCTCACTTTGCTGTCCTTGTTTTTTCCTCTTCCATCATGGACTGCTCCCATCAGACAGGTTTGGAAACTAATCAGTGGACAGATAGGCATGTGTGAGTGTGAGTCTGGGACAGGTCTGGGAAAAAAAAGCAGAGTGAAGATGATAAGCGAGAGAGCAAGAAGGAGAGAGTTGGGATAAAGGTGTGTGATAGAATTGGAAGATCAAAGCCTTCTGTCACAGCGTGACTGAGCCCAGGGGCATTATGGGTAAGACAGGGCACATACACACTCATATGGGCACATGCACGCAGATACACACACACTCGTTCACAGCTGGTATTTGACTTTGAGTGTGATTGATACAGGGCTAGATTTGGAGAATCACTGTCATTCGTCTCTCCGCAGATCAAACAGCCACATAATCTCCCATAAAGGAAAGAGAGATGGAGGAAATAAAAAAGGGACAGTGGAGGAGAGATTGAAGGAGGCTGAGAGACAGTTGGAGAGAGAGCGAGGTGACAAAGCCTTCTCGTCTGTGAAGTGTTTTCTTGTTTTCCATAAAAGAAGCCCCACCACCTTATAAAAACATCCATCATTCAGCTCCTTGGCCACAGAGAGATCCAATATCGACCAAGACGAGTGCAAACGCGTGCATTACACCTCATTTACAGTACATCAGCTATAAACATTCAATCTGTGACTTGACATTTCTGATTAAGGAAAACTCCAATAAAAGTTGTGTATGCACGGAGAACATGTTGTAGTCAGAAGTCAATCTGGTCCACACTGGGGTCAGATCTCAACCAGGTGGAAATGACATCTGTACAGTTTGGTCACATTATTTTACGCCAGGTCACTGAACTCTATGTCTTCTTGCTACCGCCTGACAGAAAACCTACAAATAAGGCCTAACTCAGTAAATGTGTAACTGTTTTCAGTCCAGTTGTTTGTGGAAATCAAGTCTTCCTGGGTCCTCTCTCTCTCTGAGAAGGACAGAGGATTCGAAATAATAAAAAGTTGCAGCCTTTTTGATATGAAGCTTTTACAGTGATCACTGTAATTGTTGGAGTAAGTGACTGACATGGACAGTGTTAAAGTTAAAGCTTCTACTTTTTTCTTATTTTGCTCTTTTCTTTCCTTTTTCTCCTTGTTCATGATTTTATTCTATGTATTTCTTATGCTCTTACTTTTGAATTGGGTTAAGTAGCCAACCACACCATTGTCCTTTCTAAAATATCTCAAGTTATTTGTGTCCAGTGTGGGGAAACCACAACGGTTCCGGTTACTTTACAGTAACACTATGTAATGAAACATGTGGCAAAAGCAAATATCGGATTGTGTTTGTGCAGCAGTTGCTATATTTTGTCCTTCTTTTTTTGTCTCTACAGATGCACCACCCTATTCAGATGAAACCTGCAGACAGTGAGAAATCTAACGGTGAGTGGCCACACACAAACAAGACACGTCGGTTGTACACACACGTGCATCAATAGCATTTCTGAATTTGCTCTGTAATAGCTTCTCGTCAAGTGCTCGCTCGCTTTTCGACTGGCAGACGGGACGAGGGACTGAGGGTAAAAATTGCACAAGAGACAGAGAGAGGAATAGATGACGGAAGCGTTGGGGGAAACGCTGATGTGTATAAATATATATTTTTTGATATGTGATGGATTATTAAGGTGCTTTGGAAAGAGGTCAGTGAAAGTTGAATTGTTTTGGCCTCGTGCTGAACCTGCCTCTCTACCCTGCGGCTGCTCACACATACAGACACACTGTATGTACTCTCCTCTTGACACACACACACACACACAATCACCTTAAAATATGTGTCTCACACACTCCATCCTCCGATCACTGTGTCTCCAAGCTTCATATTGCAGATCTAGTTCTGAATTGATTTCCAATACCGAGCCTCCTCCCCAATTCCTCCTCCTCCTAACAAGGACACTGTTGGACATGATTTTTTTATTAAAGGATAAGGCTGCCATTATTCTGTATTGCTCTTATTTTCAGGCTTGAAGACTGTGTTAGTCCACCTATACATATTTTATAGTGTTCCTACCCAGCCCCACAAAACAAGGTCGCTTCCTATTAGAGATGGGACAATATATCGAAATTCAAAATGACAATATGGATCAATTTATCTAGCGCTATATATTGTGTGGTCTCCATACACCAGTGACTTCATATTTTTTGTAAATAAGATGGCCTAACAGAATGCAAGTCAATGTATCTGCTTGTTCTTTATATAATCAAACCGGTGCTAGAAAAGGGGACAAAAGAGGAATTAAGTACAGGCATCCCTCAGCTAGTTGTACACTGTTGTCATGTATCACTATTGAATCAGGAAAAATCCATATCATCCCATCCCTACTTCCTGTTGATGTAAATCCTCCAAAACAGCTCACTTGTTTAAATGGCAAAATGATTTCCCTTAAACAGCTGGTTGGTGTCGTTTTTAGCAAATGGAGTGTCTGGAGAACCACAGGGGTTTGAAGCTGCATGCCACCCATACACTCACCCCTCTTTCACCTGCAGTTTTGGGCTGGGAAATGAAGGAAGAGACAAATCGGTTACATTCACGTACACCACAACTTTGATACTTTGTTAAATACAAAGTGTGTATTTCTACTACCCACAAGCTAAAGAAGTCAGATGTGAGGGAGGCATCACATCATATTTGATTGGAGAAAATGTATGTATCTGCATTTATGCCAGGTTCTTTATGTTCAGTGATATTTAGATGAGGTAGACTGGAACAACTAATGTTGTAGTTTAGTGGGACAGACACCCGAGTACTGTGGACAGAGTGCCCCTAATCCAAACTGTAAGGTATCTTAGGTTTTATCTGCTGTTTTAAGTCACGGTGGGATTAGGAAAAGACAGGCCCCTGGGTAAAGATGTCTTAAAGGCAGCCCCATCTTTGGTGGTCAGGTGATCTTTTCCAGCAGATTTGGGGCCAGTACTGGATGCCTTCAGTACCACAAATAAAATAAACCTAAACATTATTCAAAAATCAGACACTTAATAATCAGGAGTATGATGACAATGTCCTTTTGTTTTGGCTCCTCCATCACGGGTTGACATTTTGGCATCTTCTGCTGCTGAGCCTGTTGCCCCCCAAATATAACGGAGACTCATGTGAGTTCATTTTTGTGACTCAGAAAATCACATAAAAATCTAATGGCTGTCTGTCTTCCTGTGAACAAATTTGTGGCTACCCTGGCGGCCCGAGAGGCCTCACTGTGGACACTGTGTTTAGTCTTGGTGCATAATATTTCTCACTGAAAATTGTTGCCAGCAGTGTAGGTGGAGTATTTACTGTAGGATGCCAATGCTTAAGAATCTGAGCAGCATATACCTGAAAATTTACAGGCAAATAAACCTGAAATTATTTGCATGGCTAAGTGAGAAAATGTGTGCTTTTGCAATTTGGGTGGACTGACCCTTAAAGCTGAGTAATTGAGCAGCAAATGAAAATGAATACCACGATTGGTTTAAAACCATGACTGGATGGACCGGCCGTTTAATCCAGTTCCAGGTAGTTTCAAAAAGTGTTTCGCAAAAATTTTAAAGGGGGGCACCTATGTGTGCACAGTGAATGAATAAACACCTTTATTCATATGTCATACACCTGAGATGCCTGGTCCTGATCACAAGAAACAAAAAGACACAAGTCTAACACATAATCCCAGATATAAACTGAACACTTCAGACACAGTTTTAAATGTTTAACAATGACTGGGCTGTATCAACTTCTTCTATGTCAACGTACATGTAATTCACATGCATCAGTCATATCAAGCATACTGAAATGCCCATCAGCCATTGTCTGAAAATGTCTTGCCTCAAAGATTGTGATAAAAATGGAAAATTAAAATATGAAATGCATCTCATTCTCAGCCTCATTAACACTTCACAGAGACACTGTCTGTCCTCCTCTGGAACTGAATGAAAGTGTCCGGTGTTCTCTGCCACAGGCGGGATGCCAAGCTGAGCATAGACCTCTGGGCTCTGGACAGGGTCAGAGTGACTTCTTGCTCAGGATGGTCTGTTAATAACACAGGATGTTCTCAGTTTTGGTTCACCTAAAATACCTTCTGAACTCTTTTCTTGATGATTTCTAAATATCTTTACAAGGCAGCTTGTTTCTAAATATACAGCCTACTGTAAATCAGGGTTAGAGAACAATTCTGCAGGCTCTCCTGTTTATGGATCACTAGTTGAGCAATCCCAACAGGTCAGACTGTGATTCGCATATAGTACAACACACAGTATAGATACTTGATTTGACAGTTCTAGGTGAAAGGTTATCCAATCAGAAGCTTTGTCCTGCGTGATCAGCAACAGCATCCCCTAACTCAGGAAAGTAAGTATTGGCTGCGGTCGAGCTTGTGTGACTATATGTAATAATAACAGTTCTCACCTCGTGTAATAATAACACGAGGTGAGAACAACTCAGTTCTGGACTGCGTGATCTATTAGAATTCTCAGTAAACAGCCTCCTGCATAGAATACGTGAGCAGAGAGACAGGGTTTTTTTAGCGAAAGTCAAAATAGCCCAATCAGTCACCATTCAGAAAACCAGCAAAATACACCTCCGCGAGACAGACTCATAAACGCAGCTCATTTTGATCAATTAGACGTGTTAATAAACAGATTACTGATAAACACTAGCCCGCAAAGCAACTCAGGCAATTCGCCAAATACATCCTCAGAGTACAATTACAGGGATCCGACACAAGATGGGGGTTACAATTCAACAGATACTTCTCCTCTACACCAGGCAAGTGAAAATCGAGATAACCAGCTTTGCTTCGCAATCAACCTTGCGCATCTCATATTTCCTGAAATGAGAGATGATAAGGCGGAGAAGAAGGCACGTGAGTTTCAGAGACAAGCGGGTCTAACCGAGCATACGCCTGTGTGTTTTACGCACATACAAAAATTCGAAGAGGTGACTCGACGTAAAATTGTGGTGTTTTACAGAACCGAGAAAGAACATCTGAATGTATTTCAAACCTCTAGCGCTCCAAATGATCCGCCGTTATACATGTTCCTATTTGACAACCATTATTACGGTGTAAAAAACCCCCGTGCTTTCATTGGCTCCAAGTATTTTTGCATGTTCTGCCACAGAGGTTATGATAATCATTTGGGACACAGGTGCTCAGGGCACTGTAACATTTGTTTTACCGCCGACTGCACAGGCATGCAAACGCTCCCCGCTGAGAGTTGTGTGTGACCACTGCAACAGACTATGCGCATCATCTTACTGTCTCATGAAACACAGGGAGATGACCTGGCACTCCCACGATGAAACGCATGCCAGCCGATCCCAAATCCATAAAAAATGCTTAAAATGCTCGAGACTGTATTACATTCCTCTGACTAAACAGAATAAGCCCCACAACTGACCCGAGTCCACCTGCTACACCTGCGGAGGCGTAATTTATGATGATGCTGATGATGATCATAAGTGTTATAT